ATATATATCTTTTAGTTTTCAAAATTAATATATAAGCTCACATAATGTAATTCTTAATTGAAGATTTAAAAGAAGTAAAATCTAAAATAATTTACATAATTAAACAAATAAACAACATAACAACTTATTGCTTAAGACTTGAGATACCTATTATACCAAAATTCCTAGTTTTGTAATGTTTAATTATCTTTATTAGATAATTAGTACTCGATTTGTAAAATATCAATGATATTAAATATCAGACACAATAGTTAAACAATTTTTAGATGATGTAAACTTGATTCAAAATATAAATGTTTATTGACACTAAATTACACAATCAATTTACTTCTTACTTTGTAAAAACAATTTGTTGCATAGATAATAAACCCTAACTTATGTTATCATTAATACAGATATAATATGCACCATGTATATATGAATTAACAATACTACGTATCATATTATTCTAAAACTAATAATCTCATACATACTATTGTAATATTAAGAAAAGTCCTCGTGATCCATGAATGCCATCCTTCGTAGATACAATTGCAATTCAAAATCAATTCTTTATTCTGATAAGATTCATGTGATTAAACAAAAAAGAGATTATTTAAAAAGCATTGGTCCTTGTGTACCTTTTAAACTCTTTACATTCAAATAATTTGATAAAATGTTTCATCTTTTCTTATTTTCAAATAATTTTCTAGAGCACTAACAATTATTAAATCAAAGTTATTTTTTCACTATCTAAAATTAGAATGTAATATAATAGATTTAAATGTTATCGTGTATTTAATCATGGAATTTTTTGAACAAAAATTAGCCGCAAATTCCTACACCAGCGAAAAAATTTCGCCCCACTAGAATAGCGAAATTTTTTCGCCCTATTACACTAGAGGAAAATTTTTCACCCTCTACATTAACGAAAAAAATTTCGCCCCCCTTAACTCGAAATCCTGGATCCGTCCCTGAGTTTGATCACTGAGTAAAGATATAAGTACTAGGGGCGGGCAAGAATCCCGGTCCCGTTGTCCCATTCCGGTATATCCCGAAACCGTACCGGTGTTGTCCCGTTCCGTTTGGGTCTCATTGATTTTGTCCCGCACCGGTCCCGTACCGGTTTAAAACGGGACGGGACCGGGACATTGGAAGGTTATCCCGAACCGTCTTGTTGTCCCGTTTGTAATAACTATATAGATTTTGTAACATGAGACTAGTGTGTAATGTCAACTCAAAAAATAAATGGTAACATGTTTTTAGTTCTTCAAGCCCAATTTTTAAATTAAAAATAATACCTAACATGAATATTTACTAACATAGATTTTTATCTCACTTTATATATCTACATATGAGTATCTCACAGCTAGAACACATGATTTTGAATAAACTAATTCATTTTTGCTTTGTTTTAAATTTAAATTTCAAATTTTGCTAAACCTAACTAAAATCTAATACGTAGTAGCTTTTAGCTTGTGATGAACATCAATTAACTTTTAAAATGTTAATATTTTGGTGCATGATACTTTAGAAATGCTAATATATACGAGTATTAATTACAAATGATTATTTTTTGTTAGTTTGGGACGTCTCGAACCGTCCCGAACCGTTCCGAACCATCCCGGTCCCGATTTAAATGGGACAAGACTAGGACAAAGGCTTGTCCCGTACCGTCCCGTCCCGTTATTATTAATTGGGACGGGACCGGGATAACCCTAATCCCGAACCGTCCCGACCCATGCCCACCCCTAGATATAACGATCAATTACAAAAAAAATAACATATTTTCCAACCACTCAAGCCCAAATAAGTTCTTCCATCAACTATTTATATGTCTATAAATAAAATCCGTAGAAACATTGACAACACCCTTCAAATACTACATATAATTTTTTTCTAATCAATCACAAAAAATTTAAAGCAACAACATACATGGAAATAAAAAATAAATAATTGAGGAAGGCGCATAATTACAATTTCGCACGCAATTATTTCTTCTTCGTCCAAAACACACTGAACGCAGTTATTTGAACGGAGAACATGCGTGAGCAGTGCACAACCCCGTGGTGCTGCTGTAGGGGAACAACGAAACCGGTCGAACCGGCGGCAACTTCGGAAGCGGTTTTTCAGCGTTCAAAAACTCCACCACTTCCTCCATGCTCGGCCGCCCTTTATTCTCATTCAACGTACAAACCAACCCAACTTCCACGACCCGGACCGCCTGTTCCCGGTTCACCACCAGCCCCATCCGCCGGTCCACTAATTTCTCCTTTTCGCCTTCCTCATGTAATGCCCACGCCAAGTCCAGCAGATCCAGTTCCCCGGGGCCGGACTTTCTGACCCGACCCGACACAATCTCCAGCGCCAGCACCCCGAACTCGAACACGTCCGCCGTCTGACTCACCACCGATTCGAACCGAGTCGACTCGACGGAGCTGAGCACGAACCCGTAGTCGCCCACCGCCGCTCTGATGCTGACGTCGAGGAAAACGCTGCTGGCTTTCACGTTCTTGTGGGCGAGTTCTTTCGAGTGGAGGTAACTCAGCGCCTCCGCCACGTCTTTCACCACCTTCAGCCGCCGCGTCCACGGCAGAACCCCGCCGCCGAACAGCCATCTGTCTAGGCTTCCGTTGGGGATGTAATCGTAGACCACGGTTGTTTCTTTGTCATCGAAGCACCACCCTCTGATGGGAACCAGATTTGGGTGCCGGATCTTTCCGGCGGCTTTGATTTTCCTGTGCAACCGCTGCCGGTCGAATCCGCCGGAAGCCAAGAACTTCTCCGAGAACCGCTTCACCGCCACGCTGCCGCCGCGCAACAGAGTCCCTTTGTACGTGACACTCCTCGCATCACTTCCCAGAATCTGTACCTCGCTGAAATTCCGAGTTGCAGATGAAATTTCAGTCAACGTGAACCGGCGAGCCTTGTTTGGCGGACCCAATTTCTGCTTCTCCGGCTTACCCTGAACTTCACTGGACTCGTTAATGGCTTTCCGACCACCGCCGAAGTAAAGATTGAGTAAAACCACGACCATAAGAATAAGCACAGCCAAGAAAATCAAGAAACTGGTCGGAGTTCTTTCGTGCAATTTCGCCTCTTGTTCGTCTTCTGTGTTTTTGCTTCTTTGGTGTATTAATAATCTATTCTCACATGTTTCGGATGAAGGAACCCGAAGAGAAGCGTGGCTGGTTGACGAGAAGTTCCAAGACATAACGTTGTGGATTTGGGTATGGTTTCCGGTGGAAGCAGAGAAGCCGACGAACATGTATTCATTCAGGTAAGGAGAAAGATCAAGAGAACCCGAATAAACCGGCTTAGAAGGATACCCGTTGCGGTCCAACCCGAGCCGGATATCGATGAACCTGAGCTGACCATCGTATGATATCCAAGTCCGGTGAACGGAACCGTCCCCGAGAACAACCCCGACATCGGACGCGTTAACAGTCGTGACAGAAACAATGCTTCCGAGGTTAATACCGACATGGTTATCACTCGGGTCACCGAATTCTGGGTTCATTCGGGTGTCGAACTCAACCGCCACAGACTTGTAGTTGTCATCACAGACGTCGTTGAGCATGCCGAGCCACGGACCGGACCGGCCGACAGTAAACTCATCGGGAACTATGATGAAAGTCAAACCATGACCACCATGTGGGGATGATGACAAGTTCTCTGAGGGGGATTGGAACTGGAACGAGAATGAGGTGTGGAAAGAAGCAGGAGTTCGAGTGGGCGGATCAAAGAGTCGGAAAGGCGCCGAATGGATTGCCCGGCCTGCTAAGTGCTTGAGATCAGAGGAGGGTTTCGGAATCTGGAGGCAAGACTTATCAGGTGAAATGGATGAACTTCCCAGAAGAGTGACATGTTGCTGCTGCTGCTGGTTGATCCTGAAATCTGGGTAGGAGATGTGTTTGGATACATTGATCATTGGTCCAATGTTTCCATTTGAGAAAACTGAACTTGGGAGTGTAAGGGTTAGTAGTAAAAGCAGTAACTTGATGGACTCCATTAATGGGAAGAAGGAAGTGAGCTTGATGATAATAAGAAGGCAAACCAGAAAAACAAAAATGACCCACCAAGACTCAAATCAAATGTGACCGACCATTGAATCTTTGGGTGCACATGGCCCTGCATTACATGAATCAATCCCGCATAACGTTTTGCCCAATTCTCTATTGAAGCTCAGTCATTGTCACCTAAATATTAGACGTTTGTGGCTCTAACTTGTTGGCATCTACAAAATAATGTTTCATGTAAATTTCTTCCAATTTTATTGTTAGGATACACCAAACTTTCTTCCTATTTCTCTAGGAAAAAGATTGCGCAGTTATATTATTATTCCCTGTTTTTTTTTTAAAAAAAATAAACATATAAATTCATTTTTTTAACATTGGAAGACAGAATTGGAATGTAAAGAGTACCATTAACCAGTCACGCAACACAAATGTGTAGTAGACACAGACAACTTGTGCTTATAGACGTGAAAGACTTGTGCTCTACAACCCAAGACCATAAAAAATGTATTATCTATTTGTCTGCCTAATTAGAGACTTGTGGACTTGTCCAAGCGCACATGAATTATTTAGGTGACTTGCAAGTTGCACAAATGTTAAAATATCAAAAAAAAAATGTCACACCTCAAATGGCCCAAAATACCTAATCCAACCAAAAATTAAAAAAAAAAATTTAAAAAAAAATTAAATTCCGGCCCAAACCGGGCCCGTCCAGTTCACTAAACTGGAGGCCCGAGCCCGGACCGCTATACCACCGGTCCGGGAGGCCCGAACCGGGCACGAACCGGTTCACCGGGCCGGTCCGGGCCCGCACAGTAGCGGGACGGTCTGGTTCCGGTTGGCCCGGCCCGAGTCCATCCCTAGGTAGAGTGGGAGTTACGTGGGGTCAGGGGTTAATTAGAAAAAGCAAAAAAAAAAAATTAAGAGGCTCGAGGCCCAGCCCGGACCCGGTAGCTACCCAGGCCCAACTATTCAGAACCAGCGGTCAGCCCGGGCCCGAATCCACCCCTACTTTCAGTCCAAGTTAAAAACATCCTTAAACACAAGGCTATATCTGGTTTGGGTCTGAAATTCTGATCCAAAAGTAACACAACCCTTCGCTGTACTTCTAAAATATGAGCCATTGCGATTTGATTGTGAAGAATTGAATCCAGACAAGGGACTGAGTGGACGACCATTAGCTGTACAATTGTACAAATTGGGACAAAAATAAGTCAACACCATAAGAGTATAAGACTAGTAGGATTTAATAACCACACAAAATGATAACTTAATAAATAGTACACGTCATTGCTTGAAACCCCAAAATCTTTGGATAAATCCATAACAAGTCTAAAAAGAGACAAGAAAATATTCAAAATGAGAAGCTAAATGGAAAATTTGGAAGACTATGAGGGGCTTAGTTTTCCTCTTCAATTTTGCCTTTTTCACTGACGTAGATACCATCAAGAAACTTCCTGATATCCTTCTTCTTGACATGGCATTTCTGTAGAGATAAAAATCACAATCAGTGACAATCTTATAGACAAGAAGGTAATACCTTTAGCAACAACATGAAATTCTGACATAAGAGGGTATTTCACCTGGTTAATAAGTGCACATGACCGTGACACAAGCTCAATGTCATTACCATCCAAAACCAATTCGTCCTTCACTTTCTCGGAACGAAGAACTGTAACCCCATCAAGCATGTCCACCTTTCTAACCTGAAGTAATGAACAAAGTAAATGTCAAATGACTTAATACCATTTGAACTATGAACAAAATTGTATATATAATTCACAGAAGATTCGGTATGAGCAGTACAAGGGCAAGACATGAATACTTGGTCAAACAAAACACTGCAATGGTAATGCTACTGGTAAAATTAGAGACATCAACTGAGACAATTCTATTTCACTATGGCATCCTCCCTCCAAAATAGAAAGTCTGGTTGGAGTAAGGCTCACCATGTTCTATGGCAACGACATGAATGTACAAGATTTTGCAAACTATAAAAGCGAAAAGCATCCCTTAATTAATCCTGCTTGAAACGTGACTATACATGAATCCCACTTACAGAATAAAGTTGAAATAAAACAGAGCAAACTTTAGGCAAATAAACCTTCTTCAAACAGCTCTACTTATGTCATAATAAGTAAGGAAAACCAAGTACCTATACAAAATAGCATATAAACATTAGCCAATTAGCAAGTCAATATACCTATTCCCGGATCATGCAGCAAATTAATCAAAACAGGCCATAAGAACAAGTGACATGCGCAAGCCACAACTAATTCACAAAAACACAATATTAACTAAGTGATGGACTATATCAAACTATCAATTATGGAGTTTAATCTGCAAAGCGAATCAAAAGGACTGAGTTAACAAAACTTCATTCAATGAATTAGATAATATCTAAAAGATCATCATAACTCAATAACCAAGATCGCTAAAACTATGTTCTTGAGCATTTATCCACATCGTGATAGGTCAAACAAAGAGAAATATGTAACGCTACTGCAGAGATTTATAGAAATGATTACCTTCTTCTCGCCCAGAAAGTTACGGATCTCAATGGCCTTGTTAGCGTTGGTGATAGAGGCATTAATGGGAAAGTGAGCGTAGACAAAGCGCATCTTGTAGCGGAAGCCCTTGGTAACACCGGTGATAAGGTTGTCGACGTGGCTGAGGGCGGTGCGGATTGCGGCGGTGCTCTTCCGTGATCCGAACCAGGCGTCCACCTTAAGCTTGAGCTTTCCGGTTTCCTCATCCTTGATGAGCTGGAAATCGAGATTGAGGTGCTTGAAGTTCCGGGAGAGCTTGCCTCTAGGACCCTCGACCTCGATTTGCTTTGCGTGCACCTTGATTTTCACCCCTTCCGGGATGTCCATCGTCTCTGAAGAAAGTATAGTCTTCATAGTGTCGCTCCCTCTCCTTCGATCTCTCCCTCTCTACCAGACTCGTGCTGCCAGCCGAAAACCTTTGTTTGCAGAAGAGTATATAAAGTCTGAAACCCTAGTTCTAAGAGCAAAAGATAAGAAAATGGAATTGGGCCTGCACGCGCCCAATAACATACAAAAAACACATTCGATAAACATCATTAATTTGATCATACTAAAAGTAATAATGTCTAAGATGGCCCAATGAATATAAACGGCCCAGTACATTCGTGAAAAGTGAAATCGCGTTTTTAAAAGAGAAAAGGGTCAAATAAAGCCTTCTACTGTTATGAGATCGTCACATAAGGTCATGTACTCAATAAAGTGTCATATAAATGCTTCTACTTGTAAAAACAATCTAATAAGTCCTAACGACCTAGTTACAACCTCCTAATCGCGATTTTAGTGTGCTTAAAACCATCTTTTTATAATAGATTATACGGTACACGTCGAATATTTACTAAGATTGATTGAAATACAAGTCAAACAAATTGACAAGTAAGCTAAAATCAGGATTAAAAGGTTGTCAACGGGTCATTAGGAGTCATCCGAATGTTTTTTATAAGTAGACGTATTTATATGACACTTTATTGAATACATAGCCTTATGTGACGATTTCATAATATTAGAAGGCCTTGTTTGATCATTTTCTCTTTTTAAAAATACTCCGTAATGTTGTTGCAATCTTTTTATGAAGTCATGCATAATAATGTTCACCTATACTACGTATTTGCCAAATTGTCATTGTGTCTGCACGATTACAATTGAAAACATACATTTCATTTTGTTATTCGTAGATTCTTTTTTATAATCAATGTCCTAATTCAATTTACAATCGCTCGGATCAATGCTCAGCTATTCCGGGGTTCTCGAGAATGCGGTGTTACTCCCTCCGTATTTTTTTGTTTGCAACACTTTCCTTTTTTGGATGTATTCAAAATTTTCCTACACTTTCTAAGTTTTTCCTTTAAAAATACTCAACTACCCTTACTTTTTCTACTTTTTATCTTCTATTTCATATTTTCCCACCATCTCTCCTACTTTTTCTACACTATTCATTACCCCTACTATTTGACTCTCAAGAAATGTGCCAACACCTATTGTAGCAAACAAAAAAAAATATGGAGGGAGTATCATTTTCCTTATTATCAAAATGTTTTAAAAGATAGTCACTAATCACGTAGAAAACAACTTGAGCTCCTAAGAAACTTTATAAGGTAAATTTTATTTGTGTAATGGCTCTTAGGTTCCTAATATCTAATAGCGACATTTGTATTATTTATGTTGCATGTGTGACAATTAGTCATTACTATTTCTACATTCATTTTTTGTTGGACTTTGTAGTCTCTCTTTATAGTATTTATTCAATACTCCATTTTAAATGCCAACATCCTTGACTGGGATAGATTTCGAACCTGTGACCTCCTCCTTGGGAGAGGCACAATGATGTCATCGAACCACAAGGTGCTTGACACTATTTCTACATTCATTATTTTTGTATATATTTATTTGTGTCCATGGATGAATTCATAAATAGTGTACAAGATAGAATAGTGGTCTGACCGGATAGAATTGTCAATTATATAATAGCCTAGGTAGATTACAAGCCTACTTCATTCCAATTGTAATTTTTATTTAAGGACCAAAGATAATGAGAAAACTCAAGGAATTAAATTCAATATTTCAATTTGGCATGAACAGCTTTTTATGATCCTTCTTGTCGACTATGGCTTCCCCTTCACCCAAATCCCCTCTTTCCACCCATCTCTCACCATAAGAACATTGAAATTTTTATTCCCCTTGCTCTTGATATGGAAATCGTTGAATACTCTTCATGGACGGAGTTGTTTAAAATCACGGCTTGCGCATACAAGTTTTTGACCACATCCTTGAATCTCCCGGTAATGCTCCCGCTTCTTCTACCCCTTCTCCCACTCCAGAGCAACTTCAGGCCTCTGAAAAAAGTCGAAGCCAACGCTGGGGCTCTTTAGAATCGCATAGGTGCCATTGTCCTTCAATGGATCTACAACACAATCTCCCGCGACATTCTCAAACCCAACTCAACAGCACAACAAGCTTGGGATAGCCTAGAGGACATCTTCGAAGATAACAAAAATTCTCGGGTGTTGCATTTCGAAAACCAGTTTTCCAACTCCCGTTCGGAGAATTTTTCTAGTGTGAGAGCCTACTGCAAACAACTCAAGACCTTCGCCGCCCAGCTTATATATGTTAGCTCACCCGTCACTGACTATCGGCTCCCCTGTCACCGACTATCGGCTCACTCGTCACTGACTATCAGCTCCCCCATCACCAACTGTCGGCGCGTTCTGCGCCTTGTTAATGGTGTACCAGAGCAGTATGATACTATTGTCCCCATTAGTTGTTCCCCCCCCTGATGTGAGTTTTTCTCGCACTTAAAAAATGATATCAAGGAGTGAATCAAAGACATCCAAATCTGAAATCACGTGAGAGTGGATCGGTGCATGTGTACAAGAGGGGAATTCTTGCTTGTGGAGCATGACTTCTTCATTATGGACACCATCTACCTCGCCCCCACTCTCTTGGAGGGTGTAATCATCTTCTCCCAACTCATCTTCAATACCCAAACCTACCTCAGTAGCACCATCATCATGACTGATCTTCTCCTTGCCCTGCTAAGGTGTTGAGACTAATGGTAAATCAAACGGCTGGAGGGTTTCTGTATGAACATCACAGTGATTTATGACTTTATCAGTTACAGTTTGTACCATTTCAAACTTTTTCCTGTATTCGTCGAAAAACAACTTGACACTATTATCTTCTTCTTCATCTTCAAACATAGGTGGGTCTTCAAATGCATCAGGAAGTGTATCATCCATCATATTCCCACCATCATAGTCTGAATCGCTCACGTGATCATCCCTATTGGTCTCCTCGGATTGGTCTTCTACCAGATGGCTCCTTATGTTATTTATACGTTTCATGATGTTTGAAGTGCTCTGCTCCATGGCTGAATAGCTCAGATCCATGGCTAAAGAGCTCTCCCTCATAGACTCTAGATACTCAGACAAAGTTTCTGAAAGTGTCTTCTTACACTATTTCTGTGGCTCATTACTTGGCAAGGATGTAGGAATAATGACTAAAACATCTGTGTGTGTAAATTGTGGGGAGGAAAAAGTGGGGTATGCAGTTGCCCAGTAAGGATGGTCGTATGGAGCAATGAGGCAAAGACATGAATGGTGACCACCTCCACAGAAGGAACAAATGCTATTTTTAAGAAAGCAATCAACCAATTCCTCAAGACTTTTAGTTTGAACGAGAAATTCCATCATGGAGCCTGGTTTTGTCCGAGGATATTGTGGATAAGGATAATGATGAGGAGAATGAGATTGGGAGTATTGTGTATTTGGAAGAGGGTAAGAATAGGAAGATGGAAAATTTTGTGGTGTAGAAGAGTAATTTTGATGAGGTGTGTAGAATTGAGGAGGAGTGTACAGAGGCATGGTGCAAATGGTGAATATTCCGTGGAGGTTTGAGGGTGAGATGTTCCTTCATAAATCGAGCTGAATGAGTTCATCTCATGCCTCTTAGAAAAACACCTGAAAGGTTAGCAAAGAAAAATCCTACAGAAAAACTAAAAACAAGTCACTAAAATTAATTAACCCTTAAAACCGACACCGTCCCCGGCAACGGCGCCAAACACTGATGTGAGTTTTTCTCGCACTTAAAAAATGATGTAATATAGCGGTGAAAAGTACGAGTATCGTCTCCATAGGGACGGACAAAGGGAAATTAAAGATTAACTAAATTCATCGATTAAAAGGAAATAAAATAAAATAAAATGCAATTGTGCGAGATTGATTGGTGAATTAAAATTAAACTAATGTGAATGAACGATTAAAATAAAAGTGGTTTCTTCTCAATTAACGACGAAGGCAACACGGATTGATTCCGGGGTAACCAGATTTCTGACAGAATAGGCCTAATTACATGAAATTGATTTAATTGATCCTAGCTAATCATTGCTAAGTTCTTACCGCTCTCGCGGCGTAGAGTACAATAATTTAGGGGACCAGACTGATCTCTCATGCGACCGGATCCTAAATTATTGCCAAGACAAGCGAGCTTACGGCCCCTTAATCGTTACTAATCTCTTAGCGAATGATTAAGTGTGTGTGAATGTGTCCTAGAATAAATTAGATCTCTCTTAACTTATTCTACAAGCAATTGTAATTCTAGCGCGCGTTCTAGGTTACAAAAGATATCAATTAAATTCTTCAAACACAAATTAAACGACATTCATGCAATTAAACCGACAAGAATCTAGCCATCAATCATGATTAACCCCTTCATCAACCCCAAATCACTAATTAAACTACTCACAATTCATAATTGAAGAATCAACATTTTTGGGAAGAATAGAATAAATTGTCATTAATTAAAAAGATGAACTTACAAATAATCCCAGGGTTCTTGAAGAAAATAGCGTAAAAGCGGTGTTAAAATCGTCCCTAGGCCTCTCCGTAATGTTCGTAACCTTTAAACAGGAGAAGAGATGCCTTATTTATAGAAAACAGATGAGTTTGGGTTGAATTAGGACTAAAACGGGGTCAGGCACGGCGTGCCCAGGGGCCAGGCACAACCGTGCCTGCAGAGCAAGGCCGAAATTCGCGTTATGGGTTCAGGCACGGCGTGCCTGGCAATTCCAGCGACCAGGTAATGAATACACTGCAGGCACGGCGTGCCTCCCTGGGCACGACCGTGTCTTCCCTTCCGAATTTGGAGGAACTTTCTTCACAAAAGTTTTAGATATTAAAGTCCTCTATCCACCACAACTTGCGGAATTTGATTTGAATCATCCAATCAAGAGATATGATCAAAACGGTGAAAGGTCTCATTCTGAAATCGCAACAGGAATCATCTGACTTCATCGTCTGTTTTCACCTCCTTCCTCGCATATTCTCGGAATGATGTCTTCAAATGATTTGTTTCCCTTGAAGTTGGCTTTCATATGCAACTTGAATCGTGTCCTTTGGATGCTTCTACAATGCGATATGCTTGAATGATTGACAGAAGGTCATCCTGATCGTCGTTTTCAAGCTTCATTCATCTTTGATAAAGTCTCAC